CCTTGCATAATCCCACAGCTCCAGGAGGTCAGGCTCTAGGAGCCCCTATGTAAACACACAGGGACTGACAGTGAAACCTTCACCTAACAGGGAAATTTCCTGAAATGACACCTCCATGCTGGTAAGGTTGGTGCTCCCAACTCACTTGTCTTCAGCACGTCATCTGCACTTGGAGAAAGCAATAGGCAGTGACTGACCTGCAGGAGCCCCAGGGGCAGGTCTGAGGCCAGGGGTAATGCTGGAAGCTGAGACCACATGGCAGAAAGGTTCGTCCTGACCTGAATGGCAGAGATGGAGGCAGGCAGGGATTTCCTGCGGCTGTCTGGTGGCAGAGCAGAGCTTCCCTGCGCTTTCCCATTAGCCCATGCTGTCCCTCAGGTGTCTGGAAATGACTAAGTGTGTTTAAGGGTGTGCTAGTTTGAGAATAGGTGGAGAGTCTGGTGTTTGGAAATGACATCTTAGCTCCTTCTCTTGCCACTTCTTGCATCAGCCCCCAAGCCTGAGCCTCCTCCTCCCCCAAGCCACAATGTGGGAGGTGCAATCTGAGGTCCCCTTTGGACTGGGGCGCAGGTACAGATGTTGGGACAAATCCATGTCAGGGTACACTGGGAGAGGGAAAACACCAGCTCCCCAGAGCAGAGCCCAGCCTGCCTAAGAGGCACTGAGGCTCTCAGAGGAGATGGGCATCCCTGACAGTCTTGGCTTTCTGGGGGTTAAGCCAAAATCCTGGTGTGCTGGATGACTCAGAGAGAAGGTAGCAGGGAAGCAAAGTGGCGTGGGGGGAAAGGCACCGAGCAGTGACTCAGACTCCCCCGCCCCTTGCCCCTTGCACATCAGCACATTTATCCTGCATTGCCATCACCATCAACGGCGTTCACATCGAAGGGGCAGGCTGGGATGGGAACAGGCCAGAGGAAGCGGGTGCTGTGCAAAAGGGCCGGACCCTTGCCCACCACCAGAAAGGCTGCCTGGAGTTATCTCAGGGTCAGGACTGGGACTGCATCTAGGGCTGCACACTTGTTTAATAAGTGCTCCCCCTCCTGGGCCGTGGCCACACTGCCCCGGAGAAAATCAAAGTGCTTTGGCAAACTGGGATGTATCTCAGGCTGGACAGACACCTGGAGCAGGGCAGGGACCTTCCCTCAGCTCCAGACCATCCCAGTTCCACATGAAACTGCCCTCCAACTCCAAAAGACCCTGGGCACTCAATGAAGATACCATGTTTGAAGGTCCTCATGCTGTCTGTGCCCACCAAGACGCAGCATCACGCTCTTCCTGGACAGAAGCTCATCTTCTCCCTCAAGCCTGTCCCCTGGGGACCTAAGAACCAGGGAAGGATACTGGGATGAGATTTGGCCACTCAAAATCATGCCACTACAGAGCCCAGTGTGATTTAGAGGAACTGGCTATCACCAAGGGCGTTTTGTGCTGCACTCTGGGAGCTTCTGAAGGCCAGAAGGGAAAGTCTGTATCAGCTTTCCATTAGCCTTCAACTCCAGGGGCTTCACGAGCAGAGGAGATTTAAAAGAAAGAAAAAAAGAAAAAAACAACAAAACCCCCAGTCTTCTTCAAGGAGTAAAAAGGTGGGAGATGTACCTAAGGGATGAAGAGAAAAGGTTTCTCCTGGGTAGCTATGACTCAGAAATGGCATTTTCTATATTCTAATAAGGGATGTCAAGTCAGAGGTAATTTATTCATGGCAAGCTGATGCAGTTGCTATGGAGAGCATAATAGGAAGAAACTCTTTTTTAATGCATGGTGTATTGAGGAGGAAAGCGTTTGTTGAAGATAAAACCTCAGTGTGAGGATAAAAGCAGCAAATGGTGATTAGGAACATAATTAAAAAATAAAAATCTTTCTGCAAGCACTTTCACCACATCTGTGAAATGCAGGGTCTGATCTCACCCTGCTCAGCTTCTCTTTGGGTGGACAGAGGACCGATCCCAGCTCGGGGTTTCCCATCCACTGGACGTCAGCGCAGGAGCGCCCAGCACTCTGGGAAGCCGATCTGCTGATGGGGTCTGTTGGGTTTGGGTGATTCATGGGTGGATTTGCCCATCCTGAAGGTAAGAGGGTGCTACAAGACAGAGGATGGAGTCAGTGTAGATGCCCAGAGCACCAGGGTGCTGCACAGTGGGTACCTCTGTGTCACTGGGGACTTAAAATTCAGGTCTCTTTGTGTTAGGCCAGCCAGCAGCCTTTTTGCCTTCAGGACAAAACACACACAAGGTGTATTTTCAGACCCACTTGGTCATCCAAGTCTTTCCCTCTCCAGCCATCACAGAATTTCCTACCCCTCTATCTCAAATCTTCCTCCCCCAAGCACTGCTTTCTCCTCCTCCTCCCCTCCCAACCACAAGGACTATCACCTTTCCTAGCTTTGGTTGACCCTATGTCCCCAGGATAGTGGCTCTTTGGCACTAGTCCCTCTTCTTAGACAGCTGTTCTGGGCAGAGCTGTGGCTGGGCAATGCAAGCTTGAAGGGCTCCATCAAAGCCTGAATGAGCTGGAGATGACTGTTGGTGACATGTGAAAGGGATCATCCTTGAAAGCATGAAAGATCCCAGAGAAACACTGGCAGGGGGGACCCCTGAGTGATATCCTGGCCCAGCCATGCTGGGGACCACCACAGAAAGCCACAAGCACATACAAGCTTCATCAGTGCAACCATGGAGGAACTCAGAAAACAACAGCAGACTGAGGATCCCCAGTAACACACCCAGACAGACCTGGCCACACTGTCCAGGCTTCTCCTGGGGTTGTCCCAGGAGAGGCTCAGCCCCACGTGCCACATGGGAAACCCGTCAAGGTTAGTCCATGGGAGCCGCTCTCCAGAGCACCTTCCCAACACCCTGGTAATGACAGGGCATCTCACACCACATTCCGGACTTAACAGTCCTGGCCTCAGCCAGTTCAATGTCTCACACAGATGATGACCCTGGGGACTTCTGGCCCCAGACATGGGCATCAGAATGTTTGCTGCAGCGCATGTATTTGATGCTGGTCATTCTGGCATTGTGGTGATAAGGACCAAATGTCACAAGGTGCTGTACAGACGGGGCACATAAAGATCTCCAGTCCAAGCAGCTCCACTGTCTGCCAAAACAGGGGAGGTGGAGGCAGGATCAGGGAGAATCCATGCGATAACGTTGGTGATGGCCACTATGTGGGGATGCCACACAAGAAAGGCTGAGAGTAACACCAGTGATTGGAGTTTGGCTCTCTGCTGTGCTACACCAGCGGGCACTGCAGCTCCCCACTGCCAACATATGGCAAAAAGGATCCATAGGAAGGGGCTTTCCCTGGGCACAGAACACCCCTGAACCCTCTACCATTTGATTGACCCTCCTTGGACTCTTTCACAACTTCTACTGATCAGTAAGAATAAAATCCAGTGGTGACTCCTCCTTCATTCATAAGCCTGCAGGCAGCATTAGTTTTGCTCAGAGCATTTAGCGTGGAAAGCGAGACCCCCATTTTGTTATGGGCTGATCTTTCTATCCTTGCTGCGGAAGGGCAGCACCTCCTCAAGAAAAACAAAATATCATGAAGGCAAAGGCAGAGGGGCAGCCCCTCAGTGTTAATATGTGCCTAACAAGCACATATAGGTGACTGATGACATCACTTGCTCCCTGGAGCTTGTCTGTCATTTGTGTGACAAAATGTCATATAACAGGAAATTCTTAGTGAGACTGGGAAGTCAGCCAGTGCTTCCCCTTGGAAATGTCTCTCTCTAATTAGTCATAATGATAATGAACTTTAATTGCTTGAAGTGCTGATCCTGGTGCCCAGCACCTGCCTCAGATGGTTCTCCCCAGAACTGTAGAGTTTTGTAATTTCAGGCAGCGCAGTTCAGCCACTGGAGGACAAGAACACACACGGCTCCACAGCTCTGCTTGTGTGAAAGAGCAGGCCACTGTTGCTTCCCAGGCAGACACTGCCCCAGCTCCTGGCTCTGCAGCAAGTACTTGAAATTCAGACATGCTGAGACCTTCCTGGTTGCTCATTCGGTGCATTCCCCTGCTCTGCTGGGGACCAGCAGTTCCTCCATCCCAGGGGATGCAAGGGCGGGCAGGACTTTTCCAGAAAGTATCCCTGCCTGCTAGAGGAAGGGCTGAGGCCCCACACCTAGCAGGCAGGCACAAGCCCTGCTCCCAGACAAGACTTGTCCCTGTCAAGGTCCAGAAACTGCTTCAGAAGACCAGGCTTAATCTGCCTGACCCACTAGGATGGGAACAGCCCCATGATGAACTTGGCATGAACAGAGGGGAAGTCACCTGTCACTGCTGGGACCGATTTGAACCTCGGTAATAAAAGCCAGGCATATACACTGCTTTGCCTTGGGTCATTTGTCTCTAAATGGAGCATCTCTCATATAACAAATTGTACCTTCCTGGGCCATACATCTTCTTAATGTTTAAAGTGCCAGACGGATCTGGCAGACTTACCCCAGCTCCTCCTGGTTTATAATGAGCAAGGGGTGAGTTTGCTTGAAAACAATTTCCCTGATGCAAGTCAGGGTTGTAACAGACATGAAGACTTCCCCCAGAGAGTCATAGCCTTTTCCACCAAGCCACGGGTATTTCTGCTTCAGTAGCTCACAGAAATGCTTTTGTATGTTAAGCCAGCGAGGAAGCCAGGGACTGAGAGAAGCAAACATCAGTGGGTGAAATCTTCTGTAGAAGGAGCAGACCCCAAGGTCACCATCATCTGTAGGTTTTCCCTACCTGACCCATGAATATCACCCCTTTATTTTGGGCAATAGACCTTGTTCAAATGTCTTGACCTGTGGGGAAAAAAAAAAACCAAACAACTTTTTTTTTTAAAAAAAAAAATCAGTTAACTTTTAGCGAATGGTAGACCTCAGTCCCACACAGAGAGGGAACCATGGGCAGTACAGTGATCAGGCATCCCTGAGGATGTACCTCGGTTTAATTGTCTGTCCATCTGGTGTTTTGGGAGAGGAGCAAGCTGAGCTCTGAGAGTGGGATATAGATGTCAGGGGTGCTGAAATACCTGCCCAAGACAGCACAGGTCACAGGACACAGAGGCTGATTTGTACCAGAGGAAGAACCAGAGAAAATGAGAGGAAGGGAAAGAAATCTGCCTTTGTTCATCTGTCCCTTAGTGCTGAAGAGTCCTGGACACAGCGGTCAGTCCCCCTCACTGGTGCGGGGGCATCACCCAGCTTCAGTTGCCAAGTAACCACCTGAGCATCTTCTAACTACCCCAGCAACCATTCCATGTCAGCTGGCCACCAACAGCAAGTGGCCACAGTCGTGACTGGGGCAAGGACAGTCCTGCAAAGCGGAGGCAAAGGCACCCGGGGGCTCATCCCCTGCCTGACTGCTTTTCCCAGGCACTGCCAAACTCCCAGGCTTGCAGGGCAGCTCCCGGGCTGACCTGGGAGAGTAGCAGTGCCAGTAGAACCTGGGCTCTCTGGGACCTGCTGGAGGCTGGAGTGATAGCCACCATGGGAGATGAGGACCTGTTGGCCTATTTCCACATGCAGTACAAGCAGCACCTCCCGCGCTTGCTCAGGTGAGGGGGTCCTCCATCCACCTCCTTCCCCTCCATTCTCTTCTCCTGTCTCCTCCATCCCTCCTTCTCCCATTGTGGCAAACTCACATCCCTTATCTCCACCACTTCAGTCCCCTTTTGTACCTCCCTTCCACAGCCCTGTTACTCCCTGTCGCACCCCCTTGCTCTGTGAGGGGGATCCCTGCAGGGGAGGGGTGAGGATGCCGTGCTGCCAGATGGGATCTGAGACGGTGTCGCTCTGCTCTGTGTGCTGGGTGAGGTGGCAGGGCAGGGCAATCCAACACTCTGCCAAGGTACTGGACCCAGCGTGTAACCTCGAGGAAAACTTCTCTGGCAGGGAACTCGGACTGACAGAGGAGGATTCCCCATCTCCATTTATTCACCTTCAGAAGAAGAGGAAACAAGACCAACTGATGCACATGTTTCTGAAGGTGAAGGAAGAGGTGAGAAAGATGAGAGGGTGCAGGGGCATGGTTGGGAGGGTTTGTGGTTTTTTGGAGGGCAGCAGTGGGCAGGTGACTGGCTTTAGGTGCAGGTAGCCATATCATGCTCACTCTGGTGCTGCCAGGCCTTTAGGGAGAGGATGAAAGTCATATCCTGCCAGTGGAGGGACCTCCGCGCCAAGGAGGCTCAGCTGAAAACCTACATGGAGAAATCTGGGAAGATTTTAAAGGTACACCTGCCCCTGACCAGCTAAGCTGACATAACCTTGAGCCACACCATCACCTCCTCCCCTTCCTTGGGAAGACAGTCTTGGGCCACCATGTCTGTCCAAGCCTCCCTTGAGCCTGGAGGTGTGAAGAAGAGGCCTGGCAGGGCTTTCTACCTCAGATGTGGAAAGCCCTGGTAGGACTTTGGCAGAAGAGAGCTTGTCCTGTACCAGTGTGATCTCCTGAGTGCCCCAAACATCCCTCAAGAAGGGTCTCAGCCTGTGCCCACTGTTGACATCCATGTGTCTTCCAGGGACAGATTAGGTATGAAAATCAGGATGCCATTCCAGGTGTCTGTCTCCAAAACTGAAGGGTCAATGCAAGAGGGATGGCCTCTTGCATTTTTCACAGGGAGTGAAAATGCTCCCAGGGGTGCTCCAGTACTGGTCTCTCCTCTATGAAGGTATCTCCTCCCAGTGCTGCTGAGTGACCTAGCTCCATCTTCCCTTGCTTTCCTTTCCCTATGTGTGTGTGTGTGTGTGTGTGTGTTGGTGGGGGAAACTTCACCAGGAAAATTATAAGATGCAAATCGAAGCTCTGAAGAGAGCCAGCAAAGAAAGAGAGATGAAGATACAAAAGGAGAGTGAGCTTTTGAGAGCTAAGAGGGAACTGGAAGCCCTGAGAAATAAGCACCGGAAACTCTCCAACAAAGTGCAGAAGTACTCCATCTTCAACAAATATTTGGAGGATGTGGTGAAGATCTCACAGGTGAGTTCGGACATGAGATAGACAGATCATGGCCTCAAGGAGAGCCTTACATAGTGTTAAACCTAGAGGAGATCATGCAAGTCCAGGGAAATCATAACACTTGGTCAAACCCAAGATTTCAGATGGGATGGAAAGAGGTTCCCTGAAACCAATGTGAGCCAAGGGGACCAGTTAGGGGAGGAGGACCAGAAAAGGAGGTGAAGGCCTGACAAAACAAAACAAAAATTCTTAGAAGGGGTAAAAGCACAGGGCTGAGGGGAATGGGGACCCCTTTGTGACACTGCTTCATGTCACATTGATGGCTTGTGAGAACTGAAAAGCTGCCTGGGAGTAGGAATGCAGACACTTGTCAGAAAAGCTGTGCTCTCTCTCAAGGATACCTGGGCATCACTCCATGCATCGCTCATACTCCTGCGGTCCTAGCTGCACCCCTCCCATGTCTAGGTGACTCAGCACTGGCAATTGCAGTTGTGCTTTGTGTTTTATCAGAGCACCGCTCACCTGGGGTAGAATTCAATATCTCACCTCGCTTATGGCGGTGACAGCGCTGGGACTGTCACCATGGGATGTCATCACACAGAGAATGTGGCAATGCTCACAGACCATCTGGGGAACTCTTGTGAAGAAGGGAAAATCTTTCAGCTGGGGGAGGTGTTGTCCCTGGTCAGGGCAGGGTGCCAAACAGCACGGGACTTGCAGTCGTGATGAGGGGAAGGCAGGGAGATTACTAACACTTGGAGCCCTGTGCTGCAGTTTGAGGAGATCCAGGACATCATTTGGCGCTACAGGATGTCACCAAGGATACACAAGCACCTGCTGCAGGCACAACAGGGATACAAAGAAATGTCCGAGCAAGCCAAGATGCTCCTGGACCAGTACACAGCAGAGAAAGAAGCTGCGATCCTGCGGTATAAAAACGAGCTGGCGCAACTCCAGCTACGTTTTGACCAGGCTCAAAGTGACATCCTTCCCTTGGTAAGGAAATACGGGGTGGGCAGGGGAAGACCTGTTTTCATCCTTTGCACAGCATCTGCCTACCCCTTCTCCTCCCTCCTTACCAATCCAAAAGTGACCAGACTGGTGGTAAACTGGACTGTACTGAGGCACAGAGATGTGTAGCCAGTGCTCAGTGTGCAGAAATGCCCTCAGCTCTGCTGGCCTCTGCTCCCTTTGTATCACCCTGAGGAAGCCTTGCCAAATTCACTTATTGGATACTCCAGGCTCCAGTAGTTGGATCCCATCAGGCAATGCTGGAAAGCACCTGGTCTGGGAGGGTGGCAGTGGGATGTTGCTCCCTGGGTATCAGCTATTCCTGCTGTGGGGAGTGCAAATGGGGCCTGCAGAGAGGACCTGCCAGAGCGAGGACTGCCGGAGCTGGCAGAGAGATGGGAGGCTCCTGGGGCAAGGACCAGCTGTGGCGATTCCTGTATCTGCTTCCACCAGACAAGCTGAACCATATCCAGTGCAGCCCTGGGCAAGAACAGGTTCTTCCTAGCAAAACAGATGTGTGTGGAAGTTAGGGTCTCCAAGCCAGGGTCTCCAGTGGTGAAGCAGCATCTTTGCTGGGGCATGTCCCCACGCTGCATGTCTCCTCCCCTCTCAGGAGAATTCCTGGGCCGACATCCAGAACACGACTGCCAAGAAAACCCTGAAGCTGGCGACCATCAAGATGGCCATCTTAAGCCTCTTCCAGTGCATGAGCACACAGCTGAAAGCAAACCTGAAAGTGCCAATGGATGACAGCCACAGGCAACTGGACATGGTAGACTCAAGCCAAACCCCTTCTCCCTGTTCAGAAAGAGGAGCAGTAGTGACTCTCAGCTGCCTAAATGGAGGGGAAAGCCCATAGAATGTGCCTAACAGACACCTTCCTTTTCACCTGGGCTCTCTCTTGGGCACAGGGAATGGGGAGAGGACACCAGGCAAACCTGTCTCATCCGAGGAGTCAGAGAAGGGTGTACATCCCTGTGGGGGCAGAAGGAGTGGGAGCCAGGCAGGCTGGGGCAGGGGATGTAGGGGATGCAGATCAACACACGGCCAAGGTTTGGTTTCCTTCACCCTTGCCCTGAGCTCTGACTCACTCAAAAAAGCCCATTCTGATGGTGCAGATCCAGCAAGGCAAATGCCTTATCCTCCTGCTCAGTTTGGTTGGTGAAATGTAGTCTCCAAAAGGGCCAGCAAGCTCCCCCGTGCCTCCTGTTCCCATCCCTGCTCTGAACTCTGCCATCTCTCTTCCCCACCCTAGATTCAGCGATTTATCCAGGACTTCACAGACATCTATATGGAGGTGAGACAGAAGGACACGCAGAACCACCAGCGAGCATCTATACCTACAGAGCTATAAGGGACATGCCAACATGACCTTCTCTGCCAGCAAAGGCTCAACAGGGTGTTAAAGGAAAGAGGACAGAGGGCCCTACAGATATTGTAGACTCCACCATAGGTTACACCAGTGAAGTTTCATACCTTTCTGGCTCTTCTGCACAGTCGCTAACACCTTTTTTACTATCAAAAATAATCAAATATTTTAAGGTGTCTTTATTTCTGGGAGGATTGGAAACATCAGAGCAGCTCCATCCACAGCTTCACCCCAGATGCCATTCAGAAGGGGCACCTTCCCTGGCAGATGGGATTCTGGTTGCAGGAGACAGTGTCCCAGCAAAGCACGCAACAAAGGGAGAGCAGGCTGGGATAGGAGTATAGTCTCAAATAGGGATTAGTACTGGTGTTCACATTCAGACCTCCCACTCAGCCTAAGCCCTGAGATATTTGAGAGGGATGTCTCAATGGAGTGGGGGGACTGTGCTTTGGGAGAGCTTCAGAGATTTTCCACCACGACACACAGCACATCCATTGGTGTGGATTTCTCTGCCAGCCACGTGCTATGTAGTAAAACTCACCTCCCGCCTCAAGCTGTTAGAGAAAGTGTGGAGAACGGATATAGGTGAAGGATGAACCAGCCAAAGCTATTCTACCACACATTTAGCCACTCATCCTGAGTGCTAACATGATGAATACAAAACAAAAGGACTAAAAATTACTCTGGAGACACACTGTGGAGTTCAGGCCAGTCTCAGAGTCTTTTGAGAGGGACATTTTAATGGACCAAGGATCCAATTATATTAACTTACAGATTTTGAGGCAAGAGACCATTGATCACATGCTCTAGTTCCTTTCTCTAGTAGTTACTCCTGTCCTGAGCCAGTGGATTCAGCTAATGCATCCTCCAGAAAAGTCTGAGTCCAGTTGGTCTGTTTATAAAGCCTGGGGGTAGCTCAGGCACCTGACCCCTTCCTTAAAGAGTGAAGAAAGCACAGATTAACACCCTTCCTTCCCCAGATCTGTGCTTTCATGAGTGACAAGGAAAACCAATGCACCCCAGAGCTGGTGCTGGCTGCTTGTTTGGAAAGCAGAGGAAGGATGAGTTCAGGGCAGGAACCCCTGGTGCAGAGTCTGAACAGAGGCTGCTCCCTGTGTGTCTCTGCTATTGCTATCTCTGCAAGTTTGAATTCACATGTCAATTAGAAACACAGTACCTTTGGTCAGGTCTCAGCAAGAACTCATCCAGGAAACCCAATTTCCCTCAAGCCTCTGAGCTCAGCCCCATGTTGAGCCACTGAAGCTTAGCAAGTTGCCATCCATCAGCTGAAAATGACCCTGTGCAGTGTCCACAGTGATGCTAGTGCAGAAGAAAACACAATAGTGAAAGCCTCCATTGCAGGTGCAAGGGCAGTAATTGCTTCTCAGCTGTTAGATTTGAAAGAAGAGTTCATTTCTTTCTGAAACCTTGACATGTAAATGCAGTGTGGGCCACGGCGTGCCCTATGTTCTTCTGAATACATCCCCAGAGCAGTGGGAGGTGAATGGCAGTTTGCATTTCAGACGGCAAGGAAAAGTAAAAGCTGTTGCAACTTTATGCAGCTACCATGTGTCTACACTTTAATGATTATATTATGTTCATTCTGTAAAGCAGGGATAATAACTGTCAGGGAGGGGTAAGAGTGGGCTGCTCCTCAAGGAAAAGAGCTAAGGTGACACAAAGCAGGCAGGAGGATATCCTCACCGACAGGATGAGGTGGTATCCGAGCAAGAGAAGAAAGGTTCATGGCTGTGTCAGTGATTCCCAAGCTAGTCTGCAGTGATGAGGCAGGTCCAAGGTGAAGACAGAAAGTCCGGTCAGCAAGGCAAGGTGAGAATCATCCAGGTACAAGGCTGAGCACAGGCTTACCTGCAAGGCAAGGACCAAGGACAATGATCTAAGACTAAATGTAGCTCCCGAGCAAAGCAGAAGAAGCTTCAGTGAAGGCTCCACGCAGCTCCTTCTAGTGCCTTATCTGTTTTTCCAGCAGTGTGATCCCAAGTTACATGGCTGTCCCACATTAGGGCTGACCTTGAGCACAGGCAACCAAAACCCTGGCAGGTGGGGAAAGGGTCACAGAGCCTGTGGGTGCACTGAGAGCCCTGGTATTAACAGCTCCTTGCAGTGGGCTGGGAGTCCCACAGTGCGGACATTTGCCAAGGCCATATTGCTTCTTGTGGCAGGAGCCCAGATTCATGTCCTGCTGAAGTCACAACAAAACCAGTACTGCGGTCTGGGCTCTGCTCTGCTTGGTGTGCACGTACACAGTCCTTGCTCCAAGGACTGCAGGGTGGAAGGAAGAAAGAAATGCCCAGTCTGGGAGTAGACGCAGCAAAGAGGACACCCAGGTCACCCAGGGGATGAATAACAGAGTTGGGAAGAAGTTGGTTTTTCACTCGTTGGCTGTCTACAGGGAGGGGTGTTGAGTTGCCACATCAACAGAGGGGACCACGGCTTAGGAGCAGGAGCTGAGGGTTGTGGGACGATGCGCTGAGGGATAAAAGGGATGAAGAAGAGGTGGGCTAAGGGTAAATGGGAAGCTTTCCCTTGCCTTTGGTAAAGACCCTACACGGGGTTGTGGGTCTGTAGTGATTCCTTCCATGGGAAGAACTTCCCACAATCCCAAAAGGGATACTCCTCCTGCTGCCATGCCTGGGCCTTCTTCCCCACCAAGCTGACACCTTCAGTCTGGCTGCGCTCTCCGCCATGGCTGGGATCACAGAGGTGGTCTTGAGAGGCCTTGCAGAGCACTTCAGGGTGGTTAAAACTGATTTATCAATGGGAAGCAAATATATTTCTTTCTATTTGCATAGAGTGATCCAGTGCTCAGCCCTGGGACTAGGCCTTATGAGGAGCATGTCACCTCCTTGGAGGCAGCAGCTCACTGTGACAGGGCTGGATCTGAGGGCCTTCGCCCCACAGTCAGTGGCATCCTCAGATGCTGGCCTTGCCTGCTCTTCTGTGAGACCGAATACAGCAACAGAGAGAGAACAAAAAACCAAGCTGGAGAGAGTGAACCTTGCTGAGGCCCTCAGGGGTCCCAGATGTTGGTAAATGTCTCTACAGGCACTGGTGATGATACAAAGAGCTGCTGCCTGCACTGAAAAGTCAACTCATGACTCATCTGAGTAGATGTTTGTGCTCTTACATCTCATCTCAGCAGTGGCATATCCAAAGGGACCAGGAGCATTTACACCCATCCTGAGAGGTGACTCAGCTGTCCCGTCTCTGCCACCCACAGCCACCCCCTCACCCACTTTGATGCATCTCAGTGGTGGCAGCTGACGGGAGGTAATGGGAGGTAATGGGAGGTAATGGGAGAGGAGCGGCTCAAGGCAGGGGGCTGCAGCTCTGAGCCCGCCACTCTGAGAGTGATCGTCTGAGGGCATGACTGTCTCCAGGCTGGGCTTATGAGCGGACAGACTGATAGGCCAGGTTTCCTGAAGTCCATTGGACACTGGGTGCTGGTCAGTTCAGACCTGTCTCTTATCTGGATGCCTGAGCTGAGCTCTTCTGAGGAACCTTCAGCATGTGTCAGAAAGACAAGACAACACATTGGTCCAACCAGGCACTTTCTGATCTGTTTCAATATATTTTCTTCCTGTCATTCAGCAGACAGTCAGCCAGTACATCACACTCAGCATGTCCCTTACAGCTCTACTCAAAGTCCAAGTTGAAGACCTGTGCTCCTGACTGGTCATGATGGCCTGTCTGCTCCTGCTCAGCCCCAGCACCCCGCACCATCTTGAACATGAAGCCACAGCATGTGTTGATGCTGCTCTGCAGCATCATTTGCTGGAACTGCTTGTTTCTGTGGCCCCATCCATGCCCCCACACAGTGAAATGCCTAATTTTAGAAAGTCAGAGACCAGCAATTGAAACTTGAGGGCAGATTTTGCCTTTTCTTATGTGCCATTTGTGTCACAGCAGCAGAACAAAAATAGCAGATCCTCCCCAAAACAAAGTCCTTACCCAGGCATGAGTAAGCCATACTCAAGTCCCGTTATTTCTGGGAAGCATTGCAACTAACTATTCTTCCTCCATATCTCTGGACGGATGGCATTGCTCCTCAGATGCAGCACTGTGACCTTCTGAGCAGCTGAGCAAGCTCCTGAAAAGAGTCAGTGTCAGGCTGTCTACCACAGGGATTGCAGGTAAGCTACTGGAGGGAGAAACCAGGAGCCCGGGGATCTCTGTGAGCACATCAGGGGAAGGGAGTTATCCCCAGAGACCTGCCAGATGTCTTTGTCATGAGCAGAGTGGTGGGGCAAAGCTGTGTCAGACACCAGCCTGGATTAGATCCAGCCAAGCTGCTGGAAGGACAGAGAGGGGTGACACAGAAGAGATGCTGTCTCTGGCCTTCTCCCAGGTGGGAAGGCATGACAAGATGGTATTTCCTTGACTTCTCCAGAGGAGATGGGATTCCTGTCTGAGCCATGTCTAGTGGTCTTCATAGCCAGCAGCACACTCAAAGCGATAAGACCACCACAGCAGCACTTTCTGACTTTTCAGCCCAAATGATTCTGTGTCCTACAGTTGAGTCTACTGCAGAGGCTCTGACCAGCTTATAGAGTACAGGTTATGCCTTGGATGGCTACAAGATGTCTAAATAATCTGAGTTCCTCAACTGTCCTCACCTGACAAGGAACCACTAAAGATGTCTCTTCAAGAAGCCTTGGCAGGAGATTGTGCCCATGGGTTAAAGGGGACAAGGCCATACCCTAAGTGTCCACTGTCACTGTCATGACAGAGGTGAAGAATCTTTGGCCTGGAAGGGGAACCAGGGGTATAGGGGTGTGGGGGACAGACACTGGCTGCTCAGCCTATGAAATTCACCCCTCCTCTTCCCCTTCCCTGGCAAGCTGAGAATGAAAGAACCCCTCTAAGGCAAAGCCAGCCAAGACATCCCCAGCTGATCAGAAGGACAAGCTCTGCTCTCATCACTTGTGAGATGCCAGAAGATGCCAAGCTAGAGCTGTGCTGGTCCTGGAGTTCTGTTCCAGAGAGGCAACTCTGGAACTCAGAGGGTTGCCAGGGTTTCCTGGACCATCCACCATGCTCCCCTTCTCCTGATTGCTGGAGCTGTGCTGCTGGCTCAGGGACCTCAGCACCCGCAGAGGAGATGGCCACTGCCCGAACACACTGTGCTGAGCATCGCCAAGATGCTGTTCCTACCAGCTCTATTCTCTTTCTTGGACTCTATTCACTTTCTTGTGACTCATGATGCCGTGGGATATGGATGTAAAGACTAAAATTACCTGATCAGGTATCAGGGTTTCAGTTCTGTGATGCTGTGTATAATAAACAAGCTTTTTTGTGTTAACAGCCTGACTTCTCCTTGAGGAATTGCAGGGTTTGGATTTGTTTGCATTGTGTTTTTTGGGTTTGGGTGGGTTTTTCTGTAAGATTTTTTTTTCCTCTTGGCACAGAGAAGAGATGATTAAAGTATTGGCTAAATCTGCAGCCTGTTTTGTCTCTTGTTGATGGAAAATCCCCAGCACATTGAATTGTTGTCATTCGTTTAATCTGGACTCTGTCAACATTTCCTCTGGAGCAGCCTGCTATTCCACCAGTGTGGGCATGAGTTCGCAATGCCAGTACTCACTGCTGCACTCCCTGCTCTGCAGGACAGCTCTGCCCCCCCCCACTGGAATGGTGGGATTCCCACTGGAGGGGCTTGTGCCCCAGACTGGCCAGATGCACAGAAGCCATCATGCAGTCCAAGAGACAGGGACATGTTCTGACACAGAACACGGCTGTACAGAAAGACAGTCAGCTCTGGATCCCTTAGGATGCTCACCTGGAGACCTGCTACCTCCCCTTTTAGGCATTCTGCAAGGAGGCACAAGGACAACCCTGTGCTAGCACTGACCACTGTCTTCAGAAGTGACTTCAGAAGACACTGCTGGCTTATTCACCCCATGATTAGCACTTCCCTGGGACTTGGCATGCCGAGCACCATTGGGTGCCAGATGGCAAAAGACATGGAAGTCATTAAACCTGAATTAGAGCATTGGTTTTGCTCATTCCAGCCACCCGATCCAAGAGAGGATGTGGGTGCCAGAGCTTCCTGGTCCCCTCTCAGCAGTCACTGGCATAAAAGCACGTTGCATCTGTGAGTGACTGCAAGCTTCCCTGGTCCTACACAACTGACAAGACCCAGCAACGCACAGACTGTCCCACCTCTCTGCTCCTACTCAGCCCATCTCCCACCTCCTTGCCTTCTCCACCATAAGGCACTTCTCATATGTTCGTAATGACCCATCCTAAGGACAAGAAACTCCAAAACCCAAGAGATCCTACAGTTTGCAGGCCTGCCAGTCCTGTTTCGCCTTCTGAGAGCACCTGGGAGTGGGATACAGGAGGGCCAAGAGAAGAGATGGTGCAGCCAGACCCCCTTCAGTGCTCCACTAAGCAAAATACCACATATAGAAGATGACGTTCCACAGCCCCCCTATAAATGGCATCATTGAGGCTTGATGAGGACAGAAGGCTGTTATCAGTGAAGAGATATATCAAAAGAATTCAGGGCTCTGAGCATTAAAGGATATTAACTCAGGAAAGGCACTTTCTTGCCCTTACAAAGATTTTTCAGCCTGGCTTAAAAGTGCAAAGTTAGGTCAACAGCCAGAAATGGAAGGGCTGGATATCTTGCTGCAGCAGCAGGAGCTGCTCTGTGCACCTGCAATACCAGGTAACTCCAAAGTCCAGCCAGTGTAGGATCTTGTTTCTGTTCCACTTCAACCACCCTGCTGTGACACAGCCTGAGAACCTCTCCACAAAGGTCCCAGGCGGGGAAAATATCTATGAACCAAGCTTCCAACAGACATTTATTTGTTTGGGTTGAAATCAATGCACATGAAACAGCGTCGCTCCCGTGTGCTGCACACCTCTGCCATCAGTTAAAATACAGGAATACAGGCCAAATCGTGGCGTATGACCAGGACAGCAGCCTGTCCCCTTCGCCATGACCAGCCACACACAAACACAGACAGTACAGCCCAAAGCAGGCCAGGACCTTGCCCATGCTCCCCTGGCCATCCTCCCTGCCTGCTCAGCAGGCGAAATCTGGGTCTTGGGGCCTTGTAGGGTGGAGGTAGGGATGAATTAGCAACTTCTGAATCAAGGGCTTTGGCTCCCTCTCAGTTCAACTAAACAAACTGGCTTCCTTACTCTCCCTTCCCAAGAAGACCCTGGGGAAGGCAAGGACAGTGAGGGGGGCCTTCTGGGTCTTGAGCCTTTGGGCTGTGTGGATCAAAGCAAACACCCGTAGCACCACGTCCGTGACTAGAGAGTGACCAAGCAAAGCAGCCACTGAATACTTTCTGGAAGAGCAGGGAGTGAGTGACCAAATCTATCCCATCAATTCCAGGATGGATGCTACTGATGATGGCCTGTCACCACTGCTTGGACAACAGCCCCGGCTGTGTACTGCACCGCATTCCATCACACAGGGTTGACAAAGTAGAGAGGAGCTCTCTGTGACTTAATTTGTCGCTGTGACCTACATGTTGCTCTCTCCAGCCCACACTGAAGCCTCCACTAAGCAAAGAGAGACCATGAACTGGCAGATGGTGGTTGTGGGACGCTGTAGGACATTAACATTGGGCAGCACAATGCAAGCAGGCTTCAGAATGAGATCACTGAAGTCAACTCAGAGGTGACACAGACCAAAGTGGTGTCAAGTTTGCTAGAGATGACCAGGTGTCATGTTGACCCATTCAGGCCTTGTACTCTGGTTTGTGAGTGTGCAGAGGGACTGGTTTGGCTTTTGGACTTTTCCAGCTGCTGTTAAGATCCATATGGGGATGAGATTGCTCAGGAAGGACGAGTGAGTGGAACCACCTTGCAAAGGTTGGAGAACAGGTTCCCACACACTGGGTTTTCTGGCAGTGCTGAAAAAGAAATGCAGGAGGAACTTGGACCTGATTATGAGATTGCACTTGTAAGTATTCCACCTGAATTGTATTTTATAAGGATGAATGTGCTATTAGGTGCAATGGAAAGAGCCAAATGAGTTGTGACCATCTCACTGGCATGGGCATGTCTGACAGTGACCCAGGCAGGAACACCATCTCCAGACCCTACAGCAAGCTGTAGCAGGACTGAGCTGGAGGAATCAGCATTTTGGCCAGAGGTGCAGCCAGAGCTCTTGGGCAGCCACCCAAAGGGAAGGCCACGCCAGGACACCCAGTGACACCACAGCAGCTTACAGGGCAGGAGATGTGAGAGGCCTTCACACCCATAAGGAAACAGCCCCTGTCCTACCATGATGGGCATTAGCAGCTTTGGCTGTGCCACCTCAACACGGGTGGATGCTCAGAAGGGACAACAGAAACCCAGACACTGCATGACCTCAGGGTGCCATGAGTCTGGCTCATGGTGCCAAGCCCAGAGGCACTGTCTGAGCACTGGAGAGCAGGACTGAATGCCCTCTTGGCAGTGAGAGTGTCTTTCACCTGCTGTCTCCACCTTCCCTTGCCACTATTGCAATCTCCTGTTTGGTTTTCATTTCCTTCTGCATATTGCCCTGTTCTTCAGAATTTTCTCTTTTGCTTTAATTTCCTCCTTTTTCTTGGAGCTGAAAACTGAATCCAGTAATAGTGAGGTGAAGAAAGTAACTCATCTGCTCACAGTTCAACATGCTGGGTCTGTGCTCAGGTGATAACTTCACAAGAATTAGCCCTTCATTCAGCCAGCTCTAGGGACTGACCTTCACACTTTGCTCAGCTCTACCCAAAGCCATGGAGCACCTTGCAATAACACCAATGCAAACACAACAAAACCCAGACCAGACATTCCCCACCAAGAGTCCTCACGAAACTGCCCGTAGAGACTCACAAGGTGGTACAAGGCTAAGGATGAGACATCATCTGTGGCCACAGCATATCCTGGAGGGTGGAGCACAATGTTCTCCATACATTAGCTCCCAGTGCTTTTTTTATTACTCTGTCCAGGTGAAGGACTGCACTGGTCTTCTTTGTCATGAACTTGTTTGCTGCAGCTGCAACACACCTCCTCCAAGCTGAGCTCAGGTGGAATTTGGTGTTTGTTGATGTCATGGAGGAGACGACAGTTGACGTGGCACTAAGGACAAATGCCATCATTCAAGCTTGCACCAGCCTGCTTGGGAAGTCTCTTTGGTGGTGGTGCTGCAGTGGGAAGCATGAACAATGATGAGAAATTGAAACTCTCGGAGGAGAGCAGATTGTGGATTCTGGCTGGAGACCTGGGAAGGAAAGTCAAGAGATAGGAAACTATGGGTTGCAACCATGGGATCCCCTTGGTGCCTCCTTTCTGCAAAGGCTAGAGACCCAACCCTGCTTTATAGAGGGCCTAATACCAATGAGACTAACACTTGTGTGTCAGGCTACCTACCACAATGGAAGTCTCCAGCAATATTAAGGATGAGTTGTATCCTCTCACAGAGACTACAACCCACTGGACTTCCATTGCCATCATCTTCCTCTTACACAGTGCTTGTCACACACACTGTCAGCCAGGACCTAGCACTCAGCTTTGGCCATGCTCATCACATACTGGGTGAAGCCCATGGGGAAGGTGGGAGCTCAGTGATTTTACCTCCATTCCAGCTGCTCTGTGAGGGGCTGTAAGGTCTGGACTCAGATTTGTGGTGCTAGAGCACAGAATTTCACTTCAGCTGTATTAAAGCACATCCTTATAGACATAACATCATCTCAACTGTGACTTGGTTCTCCTGTGTCTGCACCACACTCTGGCAGGACTGAACTTAGCTCACCACTTATCACCAGTTCAGCCTCTTCTTCATCCCACACCAAGCTATTTAGGCCTTGCTTGACTTGTCTGCACCTCACAAACACCAATTTTGGCAGCATGTGTTGTGGAGCAGTGCTATGCATAGGCATGAGAGTAGGGAGAACCAAGCGGAGCTGGCCCAGTGGGGATCCAACCACCCACCTCTGTAAGCCTGGTCACTTCAGCCTCCTCCTGGGATAAGGAGGGAAAGTCCCTACCAGGCTGCACTGGCAAGAAGCACCTCTCCATGGGTCTGCCACTCTGTGAGACTTCTACAAAGTGACAATGTTCAGAATGAGTTTATGTCCTGAACCACTGGCAAATGGACAGGGACTGTCTGGGTGACCCTCAGCAGCCAGAGGATAGTCCTGTACCACTGACATAGTCTGGTCCTTACTAAACTCTGCTTTAAAAATAATGGGCACATCACTTTACAGTTGGGCACCTGTGGCTGTCAGCAGATGCCAGTGATTTAACTGCAACTTGCTGAGAAGGAGCAGGCAGGAGAAGGCACACGAGGACCCTCAAGGACAGAAAGTCCTGATAGCTTCTTAAGCTTTCAGAGAAGACAAAGGCATTGGTGGTATAACTCCATGAGCACCAGATGTGCACAGAAGGGATACATTTGACCAACAACTCCCTCCTGTACATACTTACAAGGGGATGCCTGGGGTCCGCTACCTGCAGTGTGCCTGGCTCTGCTCCTCCCTGGCCTCCATCTGTCTTTCCCTTCCACCCAGCTCCCTCCACCTTCTTCTCCTCCTAACCACAACCAGCCATTTCCCTTCCAGCCCCTCTCTCAGGACTCAGTGGGGCTCCAGCACTTCTCCCCAGTGGCAGACCCTCCAGAGCAGGGCTGCAGCCTGCTGGCCCCTCATGCAGCACCAGAAGCTGTGCGTGTCGGGGCGTTGCTGCTCACCCACCCCGCACAGGCAATTGCCCGTTTCAGCACACCAGGGAAGCCCCTCTTGCCCACCCAGCCTCCCAGGACATGTACACTACCATGGTCATGTCCTGTGCAGAGGAGCTGGGGGCTGTCCTACATGATGGAGCAGGTGAAGCCACAGCACTCCTTGAGCAGGGTGAGGCCCGTTTTGGTCATGTATGGTGCAGAGGTTTGCTGCCCCCTGGAAGTCATTTTCTTCTCTTTGACAGGAGCTATGGAAAGAGGAAACAGTGTCTGCCTGGTGCTAAGGGTACAGGCCATTGCTTCTTCTTAGAGGTCCTTTCAGGGCTAAGATACTGACCCGTTTCAGACCCACAGCTGGGCATGAGCTCCTGCATGCAGGAGGCACATCACCGTGTGTGCTCTGTGGGTGTCCACAGGCAGGACACAGGCACAGGGACCCTGGGCTAGAAATGCCTCCCACAGCACTGGGGAGGTGTTCCTTCAGCAGTGATGGAGGCACAGGGAAGAGGATGGCCTGCTGTCAGAGGCCACGAAGGAGGAGGACTGGATGGATATCACAGCTTGTGACCTTAGGTAATGGTGTGATGAAATCTAAGGAGGTGATTGGAAAGGGTCAGATGAAGTACATCAGCCATAAAAGGATACTCATGCCCATTCTCATAGGACATGGTGGCTGGGAAATGCCAGGAAGGAAACGGAAGCATATCATCTGTACTGATTCGGGATGTTTCCACAATGTGATCTAAAGCACCAGCATCCTCCTGTTGCCACTTCCCCACACCCTCCTCCAGCAACAGATGGCCTCCCGGTAAGCTAGCCCCATACAGAGCAATGAAATCTTGGGAGACAGAGTGCTTAGGAAAGGGAAGGTTCAATGCAAGGAATAAAATTCATCAACCACCTACTTCCTTTCTGGAAGTAGCTTTTGGAGAGCTTACTCTGCAGGAACTCTGCCATTTCCTTGTCTTCTTCCCTTTCCCTGTGACAAAGAGATTGGTTACCACTCAGGAAAGGAGCAGCAAGGCATCCAGGAACATCTGGCAAGGCATGATACAGATCAGAGGACAGACTGCATTGTCCTCTGTGTAAGGAATAAAATGCACCCAGTACCTGAGCCTCTCAAACTCCACATCGTCCACCAGGAAATCCCGTGTTTCCACCAACTTGTGTATCTGCTGTACCAGCTCCTCTTCCCTCTGCTTCTCCTCGTTGGACTTCTCATTCTCTGCAGCACAGGGAACACATTTAACATACCAACAGGGTCCATCCTACCCATGTCAAGGCCAAGAGTGGGGGTCACCTGGATCCAGGCTGTTAAATAAGCAACAGCCTCATCCCAAACCACCCTGGCTGGGAGGAGACAGGTCTGGTGTCATCAAACTTTGAAAGTTTAGATTCTCCCCAAATTTTTACTGCGGCTAAGCACTGCAAGAAGCAACGGTGAGGTTTGCAGAGGAGAGAAAGGGCCCCTCAACAAGATGACTTCTCTGGTGGGAGATGACCATGGCTTGCTCCCCTGGGGCCTTCACCGTGCACTGCTGAAGAGGCTGGGTCCCGGGTCTCATCGAGCTCAGAAATGTCAGACTCAGACGTCATCCATCAGCCAGGATGTGCTTAACCCACAGTTCCCGTGTCAGCACACCCAACCAGCCTCACCTTGGCCCTGAGCTGGGTAGGGGTCCAGAGACCTCTGAGTCAGGCCCTCCATGTGCCTGAGAAGCCAGCTGTGTATAGGGAATTAGCAACAATGCCTTGGGAACACCGCACACCACCATTTATGCCATACATACGGAGACATGAAAACCAATATGATCCACTGGTTTTGTTGCCTTATTCCCTTGCTGAAGGGGATCCAGTGATCTCATCCTCTGCATCTGACCTTTCAAACCACTGTCAGCCCCATTCCCACCCCAGCAACATGGATGAAAAATGTCTGCTGGGCTATTTTGAATGCATTAGCCTTGGTTATCACTTGAACCCCAAAACTGACCTACCTTGAGCACAGTGGGACCCACTTGTGCCCCGTATCTTTGGGCAGTGAGTTAGTGAGGACCTGGAAAACTCTCACATCACTATGAAGTCATGTCCTATACATATTGATACATAATGGTAAAGTGGGATACATGAAGATGATAGAGATAGGGCTAAGGAGTGTTAAGTATAAATGGAGAGCTACTTCAGGTGGAAACTAGGCTTTCTGTGCTGCAGCTGTTTAATACCATTTCTGAATTCAGCAGCCAGCTCCAAAATCAATCCAGCACAGGCTGGATCAATCTCCTGTCTTCCTTTAGCTAAATAAAAATGCAGCAAAATTCACAGTAAGGAGCAAACCCTGTAGACTGGGTCTCAGCAGTTACCTAAACTATGTATTGATTTGCAGTTTAAAGTCTGCTATGTATCGATCAGAGGTGCTGCTGCAGGGGTCTGAGTAGGAGGAACTTCTCATAATCATCATGTTATTGGAAACATCCCCGGGAAACAAAGGTTTCTCCTACAACTGTGGGTCTTGTGCAGGGAGTGAGCTTGAGCTTCCTGGCAGAGAAAGCTGATCTGGACTGAGGTCTAGGCCACAGATGCTGGTCTTCTACCATGAAGAGTTAATGTAAAGTGACCTGGCCAAGGGCAGTCTCCGTGCAGCAGCTCCCACTTGCCTGGTGGGAATCGGAGCACTTTACAGTGTCATTGGGATGCCATACAAATCGGAAGCATCAGGCTGTACACAAACATACCAGCTATTTGGAGTTAATTAGCAATCTGCATTCCTGAGTGGGAGCATGTCAGAGTTAACATACCCATTGTATAAACGCTGCACCTTTTTTTCCAACTTGCTGATGTCAGAGTCCATCATGACCACAATAACTGTCTGAATTACTAAAGTCACCTTGGTCTGGTGAGATTTCAGGCCACAGGTCTGGCTGAGCTCTGAGTAAGCACTGACGTGTTTGAATCTTCATCTGAAACAAAGTTCAATGCCCATTTTTACAAATGATCTGCTGCGACAGACTCACGAGACCAGTGATTTGCAGGATTTTTCCAGCACAGTCTGATTTGAGTCAAGTTATAAAAAAGACAAAAAAAGCATCTCTGATGCAAGCAGCATTTCTGCTCTCAGAGGAACCTGGGAATGCTGAAAAGGCTAGAAATGAAAGACCAAAGCAGATGAAGGAACGTCACCCACCTTTTTCTAGCTTCAGAAAGGCCAGGTTTATCTCTGGTCCTGAGCCATCATTTAGGTCAAGTCGTTTTATGAACTAGAAGATGTTTGAATTGAAAGCCTGCATGAAATTCAGGTCTATGTTTTGCAAGCAGGTCCTGTTTTTTTTATGGTAGAATCTTCCCCTCCCCTGTCTGAACCTCTCTCTGGACATAGCCAGGTTGTATTAAACTGATCAAGACCCGCATATTAAGCAGCAGTTGGGCTCTAACTGCATGCTGAATATTCACAAGAACACACAGCACAGCAACACTATGGCATTAGAAAGGGTCGAGGTTTCTTGCCACTCCTGGCTTTGAGATAACCCTGGGTACAGAAGCAATGAGCTGAGCTGCTGCTCTGGGAAGCCGATGTGCACAGCTGGTCCCTTGTCTGCACCCAGGCATTGCCCCTGCTACACACTCATTGGTCTCAGTGAGAGCAGCATCTTCAGAGAGAGACTAGTGGTGGAAATAACCCAGGTCCAAATCTTAATGCTTGGATGGGTACAAATAAGCAGGGATATGTCTCCCATCTGGTTCTGAAAACACACATAAAGTCCTTGCTGGAGGATGAATGAGGATGTCCTAGGAGGAGGCCCAGGCTTATGAAAGCGATGGACAGTTTGTGGCGAAGCCTTTCTTGATCGTTTTCATTCAAACGCTGAGCTGTTTGGTGTGTGCTTTCATTTTGAAAAATTTGGCTGAGTGGGATCCTTTAGGGGAACAAGGTTTGGCCTTTCCTGGGCTATGAAGGGACAAGGGTGGCTCTGGCTGTGACAGGGACATGGAGGGTCACTGGTCATCATAAGGGGGGGTGACAAAAGCAGAATTTCCTCCCAGCTGGAGTTTTCACATATGCTGCTCTGGACTGTTTGCCTTTTTTCAACATCCTGAATGATGAATTCATCTAAATCAGGGACATCGCCAAGCCCCTTCGGTATGACATCCCCCTGGCACCCATCCTACCCTGGCTGCAGCCAGGAATCCTTCCCCGGCAGCTGCTGCCCTCTGCCCTGTCACTGACACACCGCTCTGACATGGCCGCAGCAAGAATTCATTGATTTTCACACACCTGAAGACTTTGAAGACTTTTCCCCTCCTGCTACCTCCAAAAGGGGCCCCCCATGGTGTGGTTTGACAGCGTCTCCTGCTTGTCCTCTCAACTCATTTAGGGATTCTCCTCGGTGTACATGGCAGGTCCCCCTGTGTACACCCCTACTTCACTCAGCTCCTGTCCTCCTCCTATACCAGACCAATGCTCTTCCTCAAAGAGCTCATGTTTTTTCTTCTTTTCTGTTTCCTTTACCCTTCAGCCCAGGCCTGAACAAGGACTCCCTTGCAGTACTGCAAGCAGTAGAACTCCCACGGAAGACCCCATGTCATACTCAGGAACTGTATTTCTTGATGCTCCTGTACTGCCTGCAGCAGCAGTGTCTCTGGGAGCACCCCGGGGCAGGAGCCGTTCAAAAGCTTCTATTTCATGGAAACCTTTCTGCTGATTGCAGCAGTAGGGTGCAGCTCTCTGAAGCTTTACAAAGCCTTACCTGGAAGAGCTATGAGCTTTTGAAGCTCTTTTTTCAGCCGGCTGATTTCTTTACAAAGCTGAATGTCATCCATCCTGCAGAGACACAAAGGAAACCACTGAGGGAAAGACGGGGAGAGGAACCCTCGAGAACAACACCCAACCAACACTTGGGAAGGCAATGCACTTGGTGCCCAAGGCAGGGAGCACAGATTTACCTGCCTTCCTATGGGTAATAGGAGCCCACTTCATCTCGGTGCTTTTGTTGGAGCTACATGGATTGCATTACGGGTTGTTGGCAAAGAAAAAGTTTCATCAACTCTAATGACAATGAAGCCTTATTAAAACCTGGCACATCAACCATGCAATGGCAGCTGTGTTTCTCCTTCTTGAAAAAAAGAATCCCCAAACAGCAGAATCCAAACCAAATGGAAGCTGCTGCTACATAAAAAGATCTGACATTTTTACACTGCCTTTCTGCAGAATTAAAAGAAGGTAGAGAATGAAACACAACAGAGGGAGGGAATGGGCAGACTTTGCGGTTGTCCGCTGAGAAACAAGGTCATTTCAACAGAAGAAAAGGAGCCTGCTAAAGCTGCAGGCAATGAAATCATCTCTGGCTCAAACCACACGACAGCAGCAAGATACCGAACAGGACGGGCTCAGCTCAAATGTCAGCGGCAGCTGGCGATGGAGCGGACGGGGGGATATGCAGCCCTGACTGTGCTGGAGGCAGTTTGATGATGTCTCAGAAGTACCACAGACGCTCCATGGTGTATCAGTTCAAGTGCTGTTCACTGCTCACTAGGCCTGGCAGAGAAGACTTAACACAATTTATTTATTATTTTAAAACATCGCATGCCTGTGTCCTCACTAAAGCTGTGCTTGGACAAGACTGAGGAACGATGGTGTCTGGGCATGATGAGCACCAGTGCTTCAGCTTGAAGAGCTTTATGCACTCGCCCATGGTGAGGGAAACCCCAAGAGCAGAGAGTACTTGTGGCTGAGACCTCCCTCCACCATGAACAAAGCCATCTTTGAGGATCTCTTCTGGGCAGGTGACACCACAGAAGATGACTCAAGTCACAGTAACCCTAATGCTGCCTCTGGTCTGTGGGCTGTCTCTACCCCCCCCTCCCCCCCACCCCGACCTCTCTCATGCCAGCAGCTTTTGGCTTTAAAAACCTCTTTGCTTTACCCTTTAGGGTCCTTTCCTCTGAGTCCTCCTGCTTTCTGTCAGCAACTCATACACAGAGCAAGCAGCGACCCAAGGGCTGCCCAGCCCCATCTGCCCTTCCAGCAGTCTTCTCCAAAGCTGTGTCAGCCTAGGGCCAAAATTGGCCACACATCTCCAACCAAAGCATGATGAGACCAACCCATCTGACACTATTTCTTCTGCTCTGAGCCTTCCTTGGGCTCCTTACACATTATCTCTCACTGGGAAGATTAGGAAAAGCCTGCTGACATCCCGAGCCTCAGCACAGTCCAGCCAGCCACCAGCCAGTGAAGCACCATTTCCTTGTCATTAAGGTACCTGGGAACTTAAATCCCTGATCAGGGATTTTGGCTGTTGGCTTATTTGAGAAGAGTTTCTACAAGCCCCGCCCAAAAGATATATATTGTCAGTACTCTCTGAGGTGCCACCCCATGGCAAGGCACTGAATCTGTTGATCAGGGTGGGACTGTTGAGCTGCGATTTGGGATGCTTCTCATCTTTCTCCAAGCTTACCTTGGCATGGGTGAGCCACCCTGACCAGGCCATCTGACATCTCCCCACCTCTGTTAACTGGCCTGAAGCTAAAACAAAGTGACTGCATCCAAAATCCAGCCCCAGGTTTTCCATATGTAACAGGCTCCCATGCCCCTGAACCAGAAATTGGTCCACTGGTGCATACACAAAGCAATCTCTTCACTGACATACCAGTCCTCATGCTCTCCATACACATCTTCCAGGAGCTTGGAGCCAGCAATGGCACCAGAAGCCCCATTGCAGGGGTGCTGGGGTCAGGCTGCACATTCAAATGGTGCCAAGTATCTCCACCAGCAGAAAAAGGAGTTCCCAACATCACCCTGAGGTAGATGTGGACACTGACCAGGACCATTTCAGTATGACAGTGCAACTAATCCACTGATATCTCAGAAATGCCTGTATCTAAGAGCTCCCTAGACCTTAGAGACTTGTGACCACAGCCCTGGATGCTTTAGACAACAGACATGAGCACTGAAGCATGAGCAGTCTGTGCTGAGAAAAGATCTGGTGTCACAAAACTCTCAGCTGGAGACCAGACGTGCCCATACAGGATTTGGCCCTGTGCTGCCCCGTGCACAGTGCCTTGCCTACATGGGGTGGGATTGGAAGCATGTGCCCCCGTTAAACATCATGTTCACTGACCACTTTCATGAAGCTGGTGGTAAGTACCAACACCACAGGGCACACTGTCTGGACTGAGCCTCCAAGAAGAGCAGCATATTTGAATGTTGACTATGAAGAATCAGCCAACCCATTTTTCACCTAGATAGAGGCACCATACACCCTGCTAAGCCCTACTAAGCACCCCAGCGCCTTAGAACGAGCTTCCCAAGCCTTTGATGCAGAAGGACTCCTTGGACACTGTGCAGGGCACATGGGAAATCGTCCAACCTGGAAGAGCACAGGCTGCCCAGAGAAGCTGTGGCTGCCCCCTCCCTGGAAGGGTTCAAGGCCAGGCTGGACAGGGCTTTGAGCAACCTGGGCTAGTGGAAGGTGTCCCTGCCCGGGGCAGGGGGGTTGGGACTGGATGATCTTTAACATTCCTTCCAACCCAAACCATTCTAGGATTCTGATTTCTCGCAAGCTCCTTGGCCATGAGTGACGAGAAACACTAACACATGATCTGTGTCTACAGATAATATGTGACTGACTTATGGGCTGGTGTCACCTTGAACAGATATGCCTTGATACTTCTGAAGTATGTGTTACTAAAAGCCCTGTCTGCATCTTCAATAATCCTGCAGCTCCTTCCACTGAGTCATGCCGTCCACCCCTTCTGGGATGAGTCATATTTGCTGGAGCTACTTGAAGATGCAGCTTTGTCAGCTGAGCCGAGGACACCAGAAATATTGATAAAGGAAGGGAAAATAAACATACTGACAAAGAGGGACCCTGTGAGATATTGCTGTAGGAGGAGATCATCTCAGGCGGAGAAGATTTCCTCTTGGCTCTGTCAGATTTTTGCTCCATCTGACAGTGTCTTCCATTTGTTTGCATAACACACTGAGCAGGTCCACCGACACCAATGTCTGGGAGCTGCACGTGGAGAACAGGGAGGTCTGTTTGTCCTTTTGCTGCCTGCTCATAGTCCTGTGGTGGCTAAGCCCTGAGCTTGTACAAAGAGCACCAGTGGGGAGCTCTGCATGGCCCACATGGGCAACAGGCCGATTGCTAGTGATATACTGACTAAAATTAAAATAAACAGTCAAACAATAACTGAAATATTATTAAAATTAAATTGGAATTTAATTCCGTAAAAGCTGATAATGAGAATAATAAATGGGCAATAATAAAAATTCTCATTTCAATAAAATTTGGGAGATTGCAAAGACAAGCACCCAGAAGTCTGCTGCTGGAGCTGACATTATTTCTACCACTGGTGATAAAACTTATTGCAGCATCAGCCATTGCCACACTACCCCTGTCTGGCCCTGGGGAGCAGATCAGAGCACTGAGCAGGTGAAGTGCAGAGCTGAATCTCCCACAGGAGTTTCAGACCTTTCTTTTTGCCCTATAAAAGGAGAGGTTGGACAGAAGCTATTGGGAGCTTCATTGTTTTCCAGAGCACAGACATCTCAGAAATGCTGGAATGTTTTAGTCTGGCATTTCCAAGAAGAAAACACTGATTGCTATCGACTGACCAGCCAGGTCACTCCTCCATTTGGCAGCACATCAATGGAGATGTCCATCTCCCCAAGCCCCACAGTCCAGCCATCCTGAATAACACATTTTTACCCATTGGGGGAAAAAAAAAACACCTTACAGCCCCAGGTCCCCATCTTTGTTAATCCTGTCCTGCAGAACCCAGGTCTGGGATCCCTCTTCTCCAGCAGCGATGCTGAGGGAATCAGAGAATCACAGAATCGTCTAGGTTGGAAAAGACCTTGAAGATCATCCAATCCAACCATTTACCTAACATTGACAGTTCCAGAAGCCCTCAGCTTTCCCTGCCCTGCAGAGCCACGCTCCTCCCGGCTGCTGTGCTCCGCAGAGCCAAGGCTCGAGTTGCCCACAGCACTGCCAAACCACTTGGACATGCGATCCTGGCATTTCCAAACTTCCAAGTGATCACTTTTGCAGCCATGTCCACCCTGGTATGTGGTTTCTGCAGGTGATTTCCTTTTATTTTCCAAGTATAAGCCACAGAAGAAAACAAATAAAAGGATAAGAAAAAGCAAGAGATGTGAATTCTGACAGCACCTCTGAGATTTAGGTACCGGTTGCCATGGAAAACATTTAAGAACTACATTTTTAATGATTTCCAAACCCCCTTTTCAACAATATATTCAGGGGAACTGTGCCTCAAAGAGGTCAGCACTTGAAATCTGAGCCTCTAAATCACAGTCCAGCTCACAGCTCCTCCAGACAGCAAATTTACAGGGGTATTTCCAGGCTTTGGTGATCCCTGTAGCATAGGTACCAGTAGGGACCCAGACACACTAAAAAAGCAGCATATCAGGTGCTGTAGCCCAGTAAATATGATTTTTTCCATTACCAGTAAAAAATCTCAGGCTTTGTGTTGACCTGACAGCACAGGATCTCAAGACTGGCCTGACTATAGCAATTTAGTGGTATTAAAAAGCTTAACCAACCCAGACTATAAATGTTGGTCCTTTTCCTCCCAAACCATAAAACTTCCCAATATACCCAGGGAAAATGTTCTTTATCACCTTAAGTGCTGGTTAGTTCCACTGCAACACAGTGGCTATTTGATTGCCTTAAATGTGAAAGGCCTACAGACTTTTACTCAAAAACTGGTCTGATTATTGAAATGGACCCCAGAGAAAAAGCTTCCCTCCTCATCTGGCTGCAAAGGCTGTACCGGGAGCGGAGAGCAGGATGTGGTGTGGAGAGAGGCATCAGGTCCAGCCCCGATGTGTCCTGATGACCTCAGCAGCCAGGGGATGAAGGCGGAAAGGAGGAGCTGGGAGGATGTGCAGTACTTCAATATGGGGAGAGTAAACTGTGGTCGTGTGGTTGTTCAACAGCTGCAGATCTGCGTGCTGGGGCAGAGTGATATCTCCAGAGAACAGCAGTGAGCCACCAAACCTCAGGTCCCTTCCAAGCCCAGCCCAAGAGCCATGCACTAAGAGTATGGACCCACTGGGAAGACGGGATGCTCATGGTTAAATATGGAAACATGTACTGTAGTTAAACCTGTATCATAAACTCTGTTTGCATGCAAGTAAGCTGGCTCAAATCATCACAGCATCAGCAGCAGCTTTGTAATGGGGACCTGTTCAAGCCCCTTCTGAGAGCAAGGCCAGAGCGGTGGGAGAGGCTGCGCTTCCAGGTGAAAAGTGAGGTGGAAAGCAGCCTGAGCTCTGCCCATCCCTAGGGATGATCCACGTTTGATCAGGCAGGCAGAAAACGCTGGGAAACGGGGACAGCGCAGGAGGAGGGCAGGTACTCACATGTACCGCAGCTCTGACTCCCTCCTCACCAGGATCTCCCTGATCCTCTCGATTTTGAAGAGCTCTCCTTCAATGTCATCGATGGTGGTGGTGGAGTCAGCCATGGAAACAATCTCGTCCTCTGGAAATTAAATGGGAGCCACATTAGCCAGCAGGAGACGTCACAGAATCACAGAATCAACTAGGTTGGAAAGGACCTTGAAGATCTAGTCCAACCGTTAACGGAGAACGGGGACCACAGGGCTGTCACAGGGACCCATCTCCCTGCAAACACCAGACCAGCACAACCACCAAGCACATGCAGTTAAATTCATTTCCAGAATTCTTGCCACTCTGCTGTCTCATGCAAGACAACCCAATGAGCACATGGAAAGTCGCCAACATATGGAAGGGCACTGACCTGCTGGCAACTGTGCTTTGTCTTGATTTATGCTTTATGTGAGACTGGGCACTGGAACAGGGCTGCTCACTGTTGTGTTAGCATCCAAACCAGCTCGGCTTGCTGAGTGCAGCTCCACACACACATGCAATATGCATGAAGTATCTGTGTGAAAGAGGACCTCAGAGGCCAGCAGGACATCTCATCTGAGCTTGCAGTTCTCTGAGCCTGAGAAACAAGCATCATTTTGCTTGCTTGTGCTGGCTTTGCAGCACACCCTGCTCACACCAGGGTTGGGCTCTGTGCTGCTGAGAAAGCCAATTTCCAGAGGTCTCTGCCTCCAACGAAAAGTGGGAGGCCAAGGGAAATAAAAACTGCTGGAGGAAAGGATGGGAATGTCTCTCTCTTTTTCCAGAGCCATGTAAACCTCAGGCATTTCCAACACATGAGTCTGTTTGTGCACCCTCCTCTAGTACTGCCAGGAACAAATGCCCATATAGCACAGAGCTAAGGAGTCATGGAGGTGAAGTTCCTACAGCTGCACCCCTTCCATCACAGGCTGGATGAAGACTCCCCCCATCCACTGACCGCAAAAGCCCCCATGGTACCCATCAGGCCAGTTCAGCTTCCTCCATCCTCTGGAGTGCTGAGCATCACCTCCATGAGCCACCACGGGAAACTGAGGCAGGGAAAGGGGATGTCACTTGCTCAGAGCAAGAGGCAAGAGTCTCACAGCAAAACATGGGAAAAAGAGGCTGTAATTTTTATTTTAGAAGAGTGCAGTAGCAAACCCAGGGACTGACAGGACGAGAGCCCAGCAACCTCAATCCATTGGTCGGACCACCAGCTCTGCCTCCCCACCCTCCACTGATATACACTCAGATGTCCCTCTGGTGTCCCACTGGTTTGCACAAGGCTGTCACACTGATTTACACGAGGATGCCATTCACACAGTGCCTGCGAGCCTGCACGTCCCGCAGCAGCCCCCAGCCCATTTGATGGGGATAGCTGAGGTTTTGCCCCAGACCAGCTCCCACCTCCCTGCCTGGTCTGGCTCACAGAGACACACCGTTGAGCTTGTTATCAGTGACACACAGCAGCACATTTATCACACATGGGCTACCCTGGCTCTCCTGTGATGTACACACAGCACAGGTTGGGGAGAGGGGGCTGAGCAGCTACAGCAAAGCCAGGCTGTGAGAAAACATTAGAGATCACAAACATCAGGGGCAAATTCTGCTTCCTTTGCAGATTCGCAGGGCACATCTCCCCTTCGAGACTTTGCCTTCCTGCACCCTTGGGATATTTCCCATGCAGGGAGAGGAGGAAGCAGAGTCAGGGAGCACCAACTCCAGAAGCAGGATTTCCTGGGCAGCCGAGGTCTGGGAACTGGAGATGTCAGAGCTGGAGCATGTGGCTTGGGGATCCTAAATGGGACCCAGGTCAGTGCTGAGGGTTATAGGGCACAAATAAACCAGCATTAAGACACAAGGCAAACCACTCTGCACACATATCATGTAAAACTGCTTGAGAAATCATTCCCATGTTTCCAAGGCTGCTGGCAGAGAAGGTTTTTAGTGGAAATACAAGCAGTTTGTGTTGGTGTGACTGCTTTGGAGAATAGTTTTCTGCTCTTTCTGGCTTAGAAACTCATAAGGACTATGTGGAGATTATCCCCCTCTTCCCTTAGCCATGGTCAACTAATGCCAGTTTGCTGAATCCTTGATCACTCCCCATTCCAAGCCATCAGGATGCTCTCAGGAACCAGCACCTGCTCAGGACAGACTGTTGAATACATGGGTTAGACAAAGTGTGGGGTTGGATGTGTGCTGCCCTCCATCAACTCTCGCTAAGTGGTTCTGCTACAGATTTTCACAGAAACCCTCTATGAGCCAGGTTTCTACTGGCCTGAAGGGCGTTGCTAGGGGACCGGACTGTGGTTGCTACAGGGCCAGGATGAGGTTGCTAGGGGACCAGAGTGCAGTTGCTAGGGGACCACGATGCTGAGGTCCCCATCCCAAGCACCCTGTTGCTCTGCCACCCCAGAGCTCCTCTTGCCCAGGATATTTTGCTGCACCCACCCCCAGCACCGCTGAACAGCTGAGGCCACACACCGGGGCCAGGCGGGTTCCCCCTGCAGATGACAGCAGGCACACAAGGAACAACCCCCGGGAAGGTGCAGCCAGTACAGCCAGCGTGTGCGTGTAGGCAGCCACTCCCTGGGGTTCGGCTGTACTTCAGTGCAGCTCTAGACCTGTCAGGAAAAAGCTGCATTGCTCTAAGTGTTGCTTCTATGACCAGGCTGAAATGACAAGGCTGATTATTTTACAGATGCTCCAATAAACAAAGATAGGAGCTTACTGCAGCCTTCATTAGCCAAGGAAAAATCCAATCACTCCTAGGAGCACAGGGGTGAGTCTGGGGGAGGGGGGCTGTCACTCCTGGCCTGGGTGGGTGGGTGAATAACCTGGAATATCTTTGATCACTGGTGGCAGAAGTATTTGGCTGAGGTTATCAGCCAGTTGTTTCCCAGTGGGTGAGTGCAAGCCAGTGTCAGCACTGCTTCTCCCTTTTCATTAGCAGAAGCCATTCCAGACAGGAGAGGTGAATTCTCGCCTGTGCACACCAAAGGAGGAGGTGGCAGTGCTGGTCGCTCTCCCCCATCTGTGCCAGGAGGCTGGGACCTAATTTCAGCCCATAGGCAGCTGCCCACCAGAGTGAGAAAGCTCCTGGCTCACCTCTGGGTGGGTTCCCCTCAGAGATGGTGAATGCAGCATGGCTGGGACTCCCCTGCTCAGAAGGAGCTGCCTCACACACACCTCTCCTCCCTGGTCACCCTCCTATAGGGCATTTCCAAGGAGCCTCCTGTGAAGCGGGGACAGCAGACAGGTCTGCACCATGCAGCAGAGCCATGGTTGCAGCACCTGAGCTGGAAGGTGCTCAGGCTTTGGATGTGCCTGGTGGTGTGGTCAGGATCATGGCACACTGTGTCCCTCAGGTAAAGTGTGACCTCAGGCGTGTCAGGGAACTGCTCGCCAAAGCAGCAAGTCCTGGAAAAGAAGCTCTAAGAGGACAGTCATGTGCCTGGAGCAGCTTCACAGCAGAAGCAGTGGAAGGACAATGCTGGGTGAGCCCTCCTGCACAATGAAATGGGAGGGAGCGCCTGGACACAGAGCTGTGCCTCTGCACCAAAACCATCCACTAAACCTCACAAGAGACCAGTAAATCCAGACAGGTGACTAACATGCAGGTGATGAGTGGATGACAAGATGAACTTGCTGGTTGGAGACTCCTTCCATCCTCCAGCATCTGCCCAGGGCTGCAGGTCATCGTGCCAAGATCTGAACATCTGAGTGAGGGCAGGGCTGAAGCACGGATGGACCAGGAGAGGCTGAAGGGTTGTTCAGACACTGGAACAGGGATCAGAGAGGTTGTGGGATCTCCATCTTTGGTACAAGATACCTCCTGGTCAAGGCTGTGAGCAACCTGATTTAACTATTAACTACCTGTTTTTGCAAGAGTTGGACTCAGTATCTCCAGAAGTCCCTTCAGATCCAAATTCCTCTGTGATTCCACATAGAGAGATCAGTCTGTGATGAGTGATTGGGATGTGCATGGATCTTCCCTGCCAGCTCAGAAGACGCTTTCTCCAAGCAGATACGGGGTGATGCTGAGTTCCCAAGCCACAGCAGCTAGAGGCATGGGCCAGATCACAGCTTTGCTGATAGTGGTGAAACCAAAGGGCACTGTGCACTCATGAATGTGTGCGATTGCAGCGACACCACACAGCAGTCACAAATGCAGCCACTCGGAGTTCATGAGGGATTAAAACCTTGCACGTCCTGCAAGCAGACAGATAGGCAAACGATTTCCCTGGAGGTGATTTTGCCAAAGCCAAGAATATGTTTCTTACGCCCTCCCTAAGTGCCTGGCACCAGCGAGGACCTAAGGCAGCAATGTTTATGAAAGCTGTGATCAAGCTCACAGTCCTGAGCCTCCCTTTGGGGTTGGAGATGGATGATGCCCATGTCAAGCCACGCTGTCCAGGGAGGGGTCCCTCAGCTCCCACAGCTGCACACACAGCAGCACAGCCTGACACAGAGACCAGCCCCACGCTGCCTGAGCCAAAGGACCCCCTCTCTGCCACCATTTCAACCTGGCAAACCAAGGAAGGGGAGAAAGCTTCGATTTAAACTTGGAGGTGCGCTAATCACCACACATGGCCCAGGGGAAACAAGAATTGTTGGTGAGGAGTAAAATAGCCGGAGACTTACACTCTGCATGTCTTTGGTGAAAACATTTAGACAGCCAGCAGCAAGCCTGAGATGAGTCACAGCAGCAACCAGCGCAGGGTTGAGTTTCGAGCAATTTACTTCATGATTAAGGTTGGGCAAGTGACTGACAGTCCCCTGTGGAGGGGGTCAGCTCTTTACTTGGGCTCCATCCCAAGAGGCATTTAACTCAGCTGTGTGCCACACTCTGCCACAGAAAGCAGCACGGGCAGGGGGCATTCAGCCCATCAAAATCAGGTCTTGCTCCACAAACCCAGTAAGGAGAGCAATGGTAACAGGCTGCCCGGCTTTGGGGCAGCCTGGTCAGGCAGGGTGCTATCCCCACCACCCCCACTGTCTGGCAGGAGGGACACCAGCCTCCAGGACTACGTGTGGCCAAGCACACCGGTCCCAGAGCACAGGATCATGCTCAGACGGGAGAGATCACAGCTCCTGTCAGCCTGCAAAC